TAATTTTTAAAACTCTTTTCGTCTCCAAATAAAAGTTAAATTTATTATTCCAACATCACAAGAATTTCTATTTAGTTTTGCGCTTTCATTCATTGTTTAATAAAATAATATAATACGGAGTATATAATTATATATCATCTTTTTGTTTTGCGAGAATTTTGACGTAGTTTTTTTTAAATATATAAGATATTTTTTATAATAGTATGAAGTTTAATGAAATGAATTACAAGCACTGTTGGAATTTTTGTCATATTTACTATGCATTAAATGGACTAACATGTGTATATTTATGAATAGCTCTACTAATGGTGTTAATTGTTAATTAATGAACGTATAGTTTCTTAAATGAGATAAATATTTTGATAATTTATACACTAAAAATGTTAGAGGGTGAATGAGAAATTGATTATCACAATTAACTCGTTAATTAAAGAATATGGTAAGGATTTCGATTTTTAAATTTTATTGAACCAATCTTCTATTATTATTTTTACATGTTGTTTAAAATTAGTTTATTTTTATTGAGTTAACTGACAATTAATTTCTAATTATTTTGGATAAATTTTAAACAGAGCATAGCACTGCGGATGTGTTAATTGTTACTAAAACACCATTAAAACGATATTAGTGTGCCACAAATGTCATGGTTTAATTCTAAGCATTAAGTGTGTATATGTTACCCGAGTACATTTTTAAAATGCTAGTTATAAAAATCAAGGGGCTCCTCTCATTATTGGGGTGATCTATACGTGAGAGACAAGAAGGAAAAAAATCTTTCTTCTTTGTTCTTGGAGAGTGTTTTTGGTTTTTCAGCCAAATTTTCAGAGATCTCCTTCTAGTTTTTAGTTGCCAACATTTTGACATTGTCTTTGTTCATTGGTGTGTGGTTTGTTCGTACTATCATCACATACGATAATAGTTGTATTTTGGGACAAGAGTGCCCACATTTTATTTCAGTACGACAGGCGAGCAATACTACCTTAAGAACAGCTCGCTAGTGTCATTAAGGTAGGCGAGCACTGCCGATGTCCTTCCATGGTGTTTTATTTGTTTTTTGCAGGTTTAGTTTATAGTGTCCTCACTAGTGTTCCGCTTCTAGCCATATTGTCCTCGCTGCTGCTCCACTGACCTCGCTACTAGTCACAGTGTCCTCATTTTAGGCTTAATATTTTAGCCAATGCGTAATGCCCTTGTAGTCCAATGCATAATGTCCTTGTATAACAAGGTTTTTTAAAGATCTAGAAACTTATTTTCACTTTTGTTTATTTTGTAATATTCTGAATAAATTATAAATTTTGAATTTAATTACTACGGAGTATTATTTTCTGAGACCGTTCATCTTCTTTGTCCGTTGTAATCCGTACCAACATTGTAACAAACACCATTTTATCTCATAACATCTTTCTGTAAGACTTAATTTGGGATGAAGAAGTTATTATTAAAATACTTATACACTTTTTAAGAAGATTCATTGATTTTTAGAGCTTTAAATCACTTAGAAAGTTAATGAGTAATTCGCTATATCTTTTTTTAAACGGCACTACAATTGGTTTCCTATAATTCACTCAAAAAAATTGACTCTAAAGGGGCACTACCAAAATCATGGAAACGACACTATACCAATGTTAGGAAAAGACACTATAAAGTACTCGTAAAATTTATATTTCAAAAGGAAATTACAATTACAATTTTTTCTTGATAATTCATCACCAAACTCTGTTTCTGAAATGACACTACAAAAACTGTGAAAATCTCTATCCCAGAGGCATGTGATACTGACATGTTTTTTCCTCACTCCCTTTATTTTTCTGACTTTATTCTAATCATTCCTTTCACTTTTCTCTCTTCAAATATCTGACATCATATTTTTCTCTAGCATTTAATTTAAATGGGTATGACGATGGTGTCATATACACAATAGTTTAATAAATTTGGATAACTTATATTACAGTAAGATAAAGGAAGATGGTGGCTTATAGATTCAAAGACATTATTTAGAATTTTTTGAGAATGTCTTTAGCTTATAGATTCAGAGACACCATCCCTACGAGAGCATACAAAGATTTTTGTTGATCACAAATGCCTTAAACATCTTCCCACATGAGAAGGAGCTTAACCTCCGTCAAAGGAGGTGGATCGAGATAATCAAAGATTATGAGTGCACTATTGATTATAGTCCTGGCAAAGTCAATATGGTGGCTGACGCTCTTAGCAGAAAGGTAACTTTGTCAGAACTTCAAGTTTGCGGGACCTTGGAATCTAAAATTGTTGAGGCTTAGAAAGATGATGAATTATGTAAAGACAAAGGAAAATGTGAGATTCATCGAGGAGTAGTTGAATGCCTCTTTTGATCAACAAAAGTCTTATGGCGATTTGAAGCGACGAGAGATTCATTATGAGTTGGAAAGAAAGTCTTTTTGAAGGTATCTCTTTGGAGAAAAGTAGTTGGGGTCGGGAAGAAAGAGAAGTTGAGTATCAGATTCATTGGATCATTTGAGATAAATGAAACAATTGAATCGGTTGCGTATCACTTGGCACTACCACCGAGCTCAGCAAGATCCAGAATATCTTTCATGTTTTAATGCTACAACAATATTGATCGGATCCAACTCATGTGCTTGAGCCTGGTGTGGTGGAGTTAGATGAGAAAATCACTTATAAAGAAGAACCTGTAAAGATCTTTGATCGTGAAATCAGGCAACTTCGGAGCAAGAGCGTGCCACTAGTGAGGGTCTTGTGGCGAAATCATCACAACGTGAAGAAATCTACGTGGGAAACGAAGGAGTCAAATGCGAAGTCGCTTTCCTCACCTTTTTCGAAAGATATAATAGGTAAATTTCGAGGACTAAATTTTCCTATAAGAATAAAATGTAACGCTCTGAAAATCAATCTAAAAATTTTTAATTTTTGAGTACAAATAATGAACTTATCATCTATAAAAAAATAAATTTGAAAAAAAGTACAACTAAATTATGGAAAAAAATGTAACTCGGAGAAAAATATTTAATTAAACAGATTACTTTGAAAATTTTCTCATAGTTTAAATTATGATAAATATCAAAATACACTACATGTAACACAAAGTAGTAATTTGATGGATATTTTTTATGAAAGACTATCAAGATAATAAATCCTACAAAATAGAATTTTTAGAATTTGAGGTCTGCTTTGAGAAAAACACCATATCGTTTCCACTCAAAGTAGATTAGAAAAATACAAATACAAAAGTCCATTATAACACCAAATGGGCCATAATAAAAGAATGGGCAATTCTTTCCAAAGAGCAGCGCATCACCAAAGTTGGACTCAGGCCCAATAAAAGATGCCTATTTATATCTGCACCTTCTAATTCTTCGCATTCCTCTTGTTTCTTTATCAGCGTATGCTCTTTGAACCGATAGGGTTCATGGAGTTCGGAGATGGCGTTCCGGTTGCTCTTCACGGGCATGAGAATATCGATGATGGCGGAGACATTACGATGTCCGAGATTGAGGAAGGGGAGTTGGTCGAGATGATTTCTAAGACTGATTTGGGAGACAATAATGTCGTGATTCCCGAGACAGGATCGCACGAAACTAAGGTTAGGAGTGAGAACTTGGATAAAAACGAGTCTGGTAGTAAGATGCAGAGGCGTAGGAAGAACAAGAAGAAGAAGAAGAACAATAAAAACAAAGGAAATAATGGCACTTCGAGTCCCAATATAACGGATGTCAACAGGTATACGCACGTTACTATAGGTTATTTTGTGATATATGCAAGTAGATTCAGAGTTCATTGCTTTACTGTCAGGCACATTGACATTATTTTTTGGTTGTCTGATTGGGACAGAAATGTATTTGATTTTTGATGTTTGGGGAATGTTTCATTTGTGGGATTATGCTCCTTAGGGTTCTTCACTTGTTCTGACCGTTTTCTATCTGCAATTGTAGATTTGTTATTAACGTGTGTAGACGCTTGAGAGAGAAAAAATCTTATTTGGTGTGGACTGCTGTGGCTTGCCTTGGTGTATCAGCTCTCAGTGATCTTGTCAAGGAGGTAAGATTCACATTCTGCTTGAAACTGTCATCTGTGTGTGTGTGTGTGTTTTATGTTGGGCACATTCATATTCTGACATTGTGTAAAAACTTGCTGTGTAACTTGTACATTTGCTGTTTATATGTGCTAATGTATTTTATTGAACAAAATGTCAACTTCATTTTTAATCACCATATCTAGCAATTAAGTGATTTGCATGACAGTGATTCCCCTTCATCTTCTTCTACTTCTCAGTGGAACCACCGTGGTGGTGGTCCAGTGGTTCCCCATAATCTCTTTCATCTCCTTCAAGAGATAAATTTGCATTCATACAACATGGCATCTATCTCGAAGAAAGTATATGTGGTATTGCTATCAAATAAAAAGGAAGTGTTGTCCTGTTACATTATCTATCTATATTTCCTTCTCGTATAGCCATGAGATTTTTGTTTTCTGCTATTCCAGTTGCTGGTTTTATGTTCATCCATCTAACTGTATGCATTTAGTTTCCTTCTCGTCTAGGCATGGGATATTTTATTCTCTTTTAGTTTTATGTTTTAATTTTATGCCTTTTTATTCACGTTCTATTAAAAATAAGTGAAGCCATAGTTGCAGAGTTGCTGCTTCTGATTTTATGTTTATGGATTTGATTATGGATGTGATGATCCAGAGACGATTATTAACAATATTGAAGCTTTTGTCAAAAAAGTTATTCTTTTGACATTCTTCTTCCTCTACTCAATACTGTCAGGCTTGGGTAAGCTCCTTTTTTCTAGACTCTGGTGTTCACAAAATGGATAGAGCCAGTGGTGAATGTAAAGTCTTGTGTAACAAGCCTGTTAACATATTACATATGTAGGTCTATTTGTGGTTTGTCGTAAAGTCACCCACTGAATTCATTCAATCAAGAAAAATGTTCTTAATATTTTAAAGGTGAGCGGAACAATATTTTTAAATGCCCTACTCTTCTTTTGTTGTCTCTGATGCTCTATGTTGTTTCCCTACCCTCGCAGATGTTAACTGATGAAGTGGTTTCTCTCGTTTCGGTTCCATGGACTTTTCTTCCAAGATAGTTTTTGGCTTTACACTTTATGAAGTCCAATTGGTATATAGGTTGATTCAGATTACTCAGCATGCTGTTGTTTTATCATTGGTCATTAGTATGCACACACACAATGAGGCACTGTGTATTAAGATTTAAGATATGACATGCATAATCGATCACACATGCTCTTATGCTGAAAGGTGTCTTGCGGGGAAGTAATTAATATAAGAAACAATTTAAATTTGCTAAGTTATTGGTATCCAGGTGTGTTTCCTAAGCTACATACTATAATAATTTTAAGTCTCGTGTTCTGAGCTTTGGGTTATAAATGGAGGCGTTATTAAAATCTTCTTCAAGCGTGTTATTAAAGTTACTATGTGATTAGATTTTAGAATAGTCTTTTCATCCATCAAATTGTGTAATTGCAACAGGGATATAAAATGTTGCATATAAATGTAATCAAATCCATTTTATGCCAATACTAGGGGTATTACTTGAGCTATCTATTTTCAAATAAGATTCCCCTTGATGTTTCTTTATTTTTGCCTACATAATCACAAATTGCATAACCTATGTGAATATGCCTTTTCACTTTTTATTGTGTCTTCTAGACTTTTGCAGTAAATGAGTGAAAAATGACATTTTTCATTGCTGGTCTGTGCCATTTACTTTTAATTCATTTAGTGAACTGGCTTATTGCTGTAATCGATAGATAAGCTAGTGTCTATAAATTGACAAATGGCTAGGTTTAGATTATTAAAGTTCTTTTTTCTTCTGCTAAAGTGCTTTTGCAGCCATAAAATAAACACATTGTGCTTATCCCAAAATTAAGTTTTGCATTCATTAAGATTGCAGTTCTCCTTAGTTATTATCTACCAAATATAGGAGTAAATAGGTGTTTAATACCTAGGTTTCTGGTATGTCCGTTTATGATACATGTGGCATTTACGTGTAGAGAACAAGTTTTTATTCTTGTTTCCAGCAGAGTCTATAATTTCCAACAGATGAAATGCCCATTACAACATATAAGAATGTTTTTTTTCCTTTACATTTGTCTTCTGTCACTTTCCGCTCCAATGAAATAAAGTACTAATTAAATAACATTTGCAGGTAGATGCAATCCAAGCCTCTGGCGGGCAGAAGACATCTAATGGCAAGCGCTTTAGAGAAGGTGGTGGGATCTTATGGAACATTATCAAACTGCGTGAACCAAATGCTTACCAAGAGATAATGAAACAGGGCAAGGAGTTTGAGGTAAGTCATTGATCAGACTTCATTAAGAATGATTCTCTATCTATCATAAAAGGGTCCTTTTTCTTAACTTATATTTGTCCACAAAAAGAGTTTAATTTGAACAAAAGGAAGCTATTTTCATCATATTTAATATTTTTTTGGCATGAAGAAGTCCCCAAACATGTAGTGTGTTAAACTTAGTTAAACCTACAAACAAATCTAAAAGTATATATATATTTGATGATATATCCAATAGTTCTACTTTATTAGAGGTGTTTATGGCACAAAGGGATCAGTCCATTGTTTTTTTTTGTTTAAATGTCCATATGGTCATTGGGTTTTTTTATATAGTTAAGATGCGTATGCATGTGCTTGTATATATTTAATGTATTTACAAAGGGGTGTTGGTTTGCATCTTCTCATACTCACATAGTAATCTTTTAAGTACAATATTAAACATATAAACAACTATTTCCATTCCCCTGTGGAGTCAAAGATTCACTATTTTTTAGCTTTGGGGTACGGTGGAATAAAGCAATTTGGCTCTTGAAACTGTCTGCGCTTGTTGCAATTGTGAAGTAGCAGTTCGTCAATGCAACTTTTGACGCTCATCATGGGTCATCTGGACCGCACTATGTTTTTAATTTTTGCGTACATCCAACCCCCCTTACCCCGCAGGCGGGAGCCATTGAGGCACTGGGGTAATGTTGTTGTTTGTATTAAACATATAAGCAACAAATAATGCAGTTTGGTGGTCATCAGGTAGTTTGTGCCTATGTCATTGTTGGGTTATTATATCAAAAATTATGTGCTATTATATCAAAACATTTATTGAGCTAAGGTTTTACTCCATGTTGCAAACACACTGCATTTCTTGTGTTACTTTGTTATGATTTCACCAGCTTCGTAATTTTAGGTTTCCATATGTTTTCTCCAACTCATTGCAGAAGCAGCTCAGGCAAGTTTCTAAGAGCAAGCCAGGAACAAAAGAAGCGACTTCCCATAGAACCTCTTGTGCCACAACCAACCAAACTCTACCCGAACTTATTGTGAGTAGAATGCCGCCTGTGAGATTTGCTCCCCCTGAAGATGTACGGATGCCTGTGAGATACGATGATCTGTATGGAGAAGAACACGGAAAAGATATACGGTAGAGTGCTATTTGCGATTAAACTACGGACTTGTAGATTCCAATTCCTTTATATATATATATACTTCCAGTTCCCCTGTGGGATGGGGAAATGCTTTTTGTTTGTTTATTTCTTATGCCGGTTTTACAAAGGCTATGCTTTTTGTTTCACCTCTTTAATGATAAATTATTTTTCTGTTGCATTTTATTTTATGTGTTGCTTTTATGTGTACACTAAGTTGCATGCCACACCACTCTTTTATGGAGTGATTGTCTTCACACCACAAACGCGTTTTTGTTCTTACAGATATTTGGTCTTTGTTGATGGCTGAGGATGGTTCTATTTAAGGACAAACATTTACACTTTCATTAAATTCACACTCCTTTTTCCTCAGACAATAGAGAGAAATGACAGAACTTTCCTCTCTCCACAGCAATTGCTGCACTTAGATTACTGGGTCAAACCTAGACCGGCCTGGCCCAAACTGGGTCTGGACCGGGACCGAATTAGCAATGGGCTGAGGACCGGACTGAATAAGATAACGACCGGACCGGGACCGGAGCGAATATATGCGATTTTTGTTTTTTTTTAAAAAAAATTATTTAATTTGAAGTATTTAATTGCACAATAGCCGCATATTCTATGGAGGGCTTATGATGGGGTTGTGGTGGGGTTGGGGTGGGGGTTTAGGAGGTTGTTAGGGGGATAAGAATTGTTAATTTTACGAACGGAGCACCGGAGGTGTTCCAAAAACGCAGTGGCACCGCTAGTGTCACCAAACGTGAGTGTCGCGAGAACATCATTGTATAAAGAAAAAGTGCCAGACCGAAAACCCGATGGACCGGACCAAAGATTGAATAAAGAAAAGGAGAGGACTGAAGACCGGATTGGCTATGTACGGTTTTGACCGGGTTTCTTGTCGGTTTGGGTCTGGACCGAATAATGCACACCCATAGCTACCATAACTGCACTTCCATTGTAGTACCTACATTTATTCTTCAATCTCAGCACCAAAGTAGTGTAACATATGTTTTATAAGGGTGGAGGACTGGAGGGTATACATACCTGTAGCATCTCTCCTATATTAGTGTCACAACAGATTTCATTAATTTCATATTTTTTGTGACTAAAATGAGTGTGTACATACACCAATTTGCTAATCTACTTCAACCATTTTCTAATATACTACGGAGTATCATTTTTAAACTCATTCTAAATTTTTAAAAAGTTTTTAAATTTTTAATTTTTGTAATAGGTATAGTAATTTTTAAAATATAAATGGTAAATAGCTAATTAACACTAACAACAAGATGATAAGATTTCGTTGATTTAAGCAATACTAGAATCTTACATGACCGAAAATACTAATGAAAATGTTAATCCATAACAAAAAAAACTATTTTTTATACTAAAAAAATACCCATTTGTCTTTTTCTAGAGAGTAAATTGTAAAACTTTAATTTTTGAGAGTGCAGGATTTAAAAATGGGTGAAATAAATAAAGATTGGTTGTATATATAGATTGTAATTATTAATTTCAAACAAATTTTTTTGTGCTAACATTTATTTTTTTTCTACATATCATATAATATTATTTTGATAAATTTTGATACCAAATGTAAATTACAGATCTGAGTGGTATATACTTATACCGACATACTGATATTTGCCACGTAGATAAATTTTGATACCAAATGTAAATTACAGATCTCATACCGTTCCCTATATGTGAAAAAATATTTAATTCTCTCTTCAATTATACTTGTATATCACTTTGTCAGTAGCTCTTAAAGTTATTAGTGTAGTAGTGTAGTATATGCTCAATCTTATTATCTCAACCTATTAACGCAAGGTGGAGCTCAAACACTGCATGTGAAAAGGCTTGAAGTGGCTTCTTTGCCACTACGCCAACATATTTTCACTTATTGTCTAGTAACTCTTTTTTCTTAATCATATTGTAATATTTTTACAACGCTTTCGTTTATTGAATTTATTACTCCACTTTTATTATCTTTTGTACTACAGAGTAGAATTTTTTTATAATTTCTTTCCTTTTCTGTTTAAATTTTTATTGATGTCTTTAAATATATATTAAATGTAGGTTTTTGTAGAAACAAATTCATTTTATTATTAGTACTCTGCATTAATATGTCAAATTTTAGGCATTGATACAGAGTACTACGGAATAATAAAAGTGAGGGGTATATTGGAGAAAGTTGAACCAAACAAAAAAAAAATTATGGAAACATGTTGACATAGTGACAAGAAAGTTACCTCAAACTTTTCCACATTCATTGTTTAAGCCACACCCTTACACTAGTAAAGGGTATGATTGGTTTTTGCCTTTTTGGGAGATAGGAAAAAGCCAGATTGGATTCCTCTGGTCTGGAACAAACTTATTAATTATAGTGCCTAAACATCAATTTACCATGTGGTTTATTGGAAGACACAGGTTACAAACCAAAAGAAGACCAGGCAAATTTCTAGACAAAGGTCAAAAGTGCATTGTGTGTAAAGAATCAAGATAATGTGTAGAGCAGAGTTTTTTACACAGTCTACAAACCAATCCAAAGCCCATCACCATTAAAAGGCCAAACCTTAATCCTTCCTTTCATGCAAACTTTCATTTATGAAATGCAATTTCTTCATTTTCAAAAGACAAAAAAAGGGTAGAGAGAGTTCTACACAAGACAACACACAGATTCTGAACATTTTCCCCAAGTCACATTTGGCACCACTAACAAGAGAGCTAAGAGGAAGCCAGCAAGAAAAAAGAAAGCACAATATCAACAAAACCACACATCTAGTCCAATCTACTGAGTGGATGCCGCGGCATTCTCATCAGCCGGTGTGGCAGATTCGGGCACGGGTGACTTCTTGGTCAGGGATTTGGGCAGGTCAATGTAGTCCTGCATGCAGCGCTGCTGGGGGTGGGACAAGAGAACAGCCATGTGGCGAAGGAAAACACGAAGACTCCCCTGCCCACTCTCGAATATGTAACCCTCGTAATCGCTGACCAGTTCAAGGGCCTCCACTAGGGCATCATACACCTTTTGTGGACAGTTATCAGGTCCTGGCTTGTCATGGAGGTATATTGCATCCAATGTGAATAGCTTCTGAGTTGCAGGCCATTGATGTGTTGGCGGTGTTGATGACCTGCAGTACAGTAGAATCTGAAAACGACAAAAAAGAGCAGTCAGTCAACTTGTCTCAAATGAACTCTCTGTGGGATTTTACTGCGTTTTGTTGTCCATGTAGGAAAAGACAGATGAATGTGAAATGAGATAAATGAGAAAATAACTTAGTGTGATTTGGCTGGATGATTAACAAGCATTGTAAGAGAAAGAACAGAACATGTCAATCATGGCCCTCTAATACTCTAGCAGACAAGAAACCTTGTTTTTCGATAAATTCATATTTGAGGGTGACTAAGAAAGTAAAATGTTAGATAAACTAAATCACATATTTGATTAAGTCATAGCTTGTTGGCTCCATAACTGGTCCATATAGCAATTAATTTAAGTGAGACTATGTCTAGCTAGAGGATGGCATCATGATCATTAGATGACATGCCGAGATATAGAGAAGACCAAATTTCCAATTATAACTTAGTCAGCCTGTTTATGGATAAAAGTGACAAAAGTGAGTTCCAAACTAGAAAATGAACTCACAAATTACTGATAAAATTGCAATTCTAGAAGTAGATATACAAATCACCAATATACTCCATGAAAGAAAATACGTTGTTAAGTCGATAGAAATCTCTTTTCCCCCAACCAGATATACAAATTTCGAACATGATGCCAGTAATGCAGCCGATACCCAATTTTGATGTACATTTGGCAACTGAAAATATTATTAGAGGTTGCATGTCATAACTCAGCATATACTTCCGTCCCTTTCCTCAGAAAGGAGGAATTGTGACAACACCATTAGCCACTCATGGCAACAAATATTTTATCAAGCAAACACATTTAAATAAGCAATACAAATTATGAAACAACATGAAATTTAAAGTTATGTGAATGAATACTCACCACCCTGAGTATCCTATTCTGAGCACGAGACTTTTTTGCTTCATGAGCAGCCACTCTAAATAGTTGGGTTAGGTCAGCATGGCCAGATGATGTATCGATTGAGATGGCCCGGAATGCAGATATTGGAGAATCCGCGTCATTACTGAACTCTTTTTGGAGCTTTTTTTTTCCAAAGATTATACACCAAGTAGATCAGTTAATTTGTTAAACTGCCCAATAAAAAAAGAACATAAAAAGGAAAAATACAACAACAATAACAACCCGGTATAGTCCCCTAAGTGAGTTCCAGAGAGGTTGAATGTAGGCATGTCTTAAAACCAAGAAAAAGGCAATACAGTATCAACAAGATAAAGATACTTTGCATAATTTTTGGTTCAAGGAAGCAAAAAGAGAAAAGAAATGAAAATGGTTTTAAAAAAAAAATTTCTTGTTTAGTTAAAGAGGAAAAAAAATGAGGAAAAATTTCTGCCAAAACCATTTTGGTGAGGAAAATGAGATAACCCTTTTTCTCTTCAATTCCTTCTTTCCTTGAACCAAACATTGTGTTAGAAAATGCTACCCCCGGGATTAACCATATCAATTTCAGCCTGCAGAAATAAAACCTAGAAAGATTCCTTCTTTTAATTGTCCATTCATCCTCAGTGTACTTGAAGAAGCCAATTTATTCATTCAACTCTAAAAATAAAACAGAAGCATCACACACTTGCTCGAATTCAAATCAATGAAGGTGCAGTAAATTAAATAAACACACCAAAAATACTTCGAAATTAACCACAAACTCACAGGGAGAAAGAAGAAGAAAGATTAGATCAAGAAAGCGAGATAAAGGTACCCAGAAAGCAGATTTTCCAAGACCGACATAGGCGAATCGGTGATCAGGGTTAATGGTGAGCTTGGCGGTGACGAAGAAGATGATAGCTTGCTTGATAGAATCGATTCGGGTATAGTGCCGCCCACTCGCAGTCGTAGTTTTCATATCGACCATGGATTCCTTGTCAACATCAACGCAGAAAAGTATATCTTCGCAGTGGATTCGTGTCGGCTGTAAAGCGTAGCGATCTCCTCCGCCGCCCCCTACGGCGGCGCCGCTGCCTGCAGCTTGAGGTGAGCACCGTGGCTCCCCTGGCTCCATTTCTCCCCCTCCCCGAGACTGGTGAACTTCTATCAAATTTTATTAGAAATAGCGGTAATTTTGACAGCAGGGGACAGGGGTAGCTCAGTTGTTCCATGAGGGGTAAATTTGAGAGTTGGGACTAAATTAAGAACTTATTTGAAAATAGCTTTAGAGCATTAGTGTTTTGAAAAATCTACTTACGAACAGTATTTAGTGTTAGTGTTTTCAAAATAATCTGTACTATTAAAATTTTATTCAAAATGTTAATCATATTCCCAAACAAACCTTCACGTGAGTGATATTCTAAAACCAGAATAAGCTCCTTACATATTTGTAGGACAAGTCTCTTCCTTTAATGAGTCGCTGCTCACTGAGTCTTAATTTACATTCCTCCTCATATTCGTCGAGACAGGTGTAGGCGGTCCTTGTAGTTGTGAATTCAACTTTTTTGTAACAAGAAATTTGTGTAAATTATATTTTACGAGATAAAATATATTCTCATTTTAGTTTTTAAAGATTTCCCACTTTAAAAACAATTCAAGACATCTAAAAATTTAAAAAAGAAAACAAAAAAGAAATTATAATAATAGCTTTAGTTGATGACATTTCGCAAAACTAATACATGTTGTAACTAAAAGCATAACAATGCACTGATATACTTTTTGGAAAATGGGCAGATAAAAATCAGGCCTTACCTGTTTATTATCACCATCTTTATAAAAAAAAAATCTATCTCAATAAAACTGAATTATAGAACTTATAAAAAAAAATAAGATTTCTAATGTTTTATAAGAGTTATTAGAACTATAAAATGTATTTGTCCAATTTAACTTGAAATAACAAATTACTACCTCCGTCCTAATATATTTGTCCAATTTGACTTCAAAGTCAAATTAGACAAACTTTAAACTACAATTAATCTCAATTTGTATTGCCTATTAGTATAATGAAAAACAATTTTTAAAGTTATCAATGCAATAAATATAATAAATTCATTTTTATGTTAAAATACATTAAAATTTTTATTTAATTAAAACTTAAAGTTTGTACTGTTTGACTCAAAAAAGTGAAACTGAACAAATATACTGAAACGGAGAAAGTATTATACACCAAGATATCACAAGAAAAGTGAGACAGAAAGATTATATGTTTTCCTCAAGAGGCATAACTAAATAAGGGCACCTAAACTCAACAGATTTTATATGAAATAACTAAATAAAGGAAAAGTGCTATACTCTAATGTTATTGATCCAAACTCTGTAAAAATATCCAAATTGCTAGGAACAAGATATATACAAGGCTGATGTAAACACAAAACTGGTCGGTATCTGAAATTTCCAAGAGCATTAGGCTGGACCAAGTAAGGAGTGTCATCTCTTCTTGCGCTTGGCGAACGATTTCTTATTACCAGTGGCATTGCTTTTTGACTTGTTAAATCCCGACCCGCTCTCCTGCCATGAAGAAACCCGTCGTAACATGAGTACTCCTTCCGTCCTAAAATTAACTTCATGTTTGACTTTTCATGGTCTCCAATGTGACACTTTGACCATTTATATCTCCATTTTTATATGAATATATATTATCAAAATAGTATATTTCAAAACTATGTTTCAAAATGAATCTATTGATACTAAATTTATATGAAATTCAATATATTTTTCCCGTAATATACAGTCAAAGCTTAAAAATTTTGACTGCAAAAGTCAAAATGGGAAATTAATTTTAGGACGGAAGAAGTAATTAAAAGGTGCTTACTTCTCAAAGCTTACTTCAAAAGAAGCAATTGTAGGGGTACAACACTTTGTCACTATTAAGAAGCAATTGTAGTATAGAATATGCTCTGTAGGGGTAAATAGAAGCCTACCTTTCTATAAAGTATGTAAGCATTCCGACCAGTCAGCTCTTCCCCATTTCTGGTGACATAAACCTGGTAAACAGTTTCAAATGAATTGATCGTCCGTGAATTAATGTATAGAAGTAGAAACCACAGATTTCAAGAGTGTCGAAAAACAGACCAAAAGTAATTTAAGACCAACTACACTTCACAACAATATGAAACAAACAAGCTGCTTTCAAGGAGAACATGTTGAGAATAACAGTGAGAATTTAAATAAATTTATGGGTGAGAGGTGACAAAATAATTATAGTGAACTTGATCTTACTCTTTTCCCATCTGAAGCTGTGAGCCAATGCCCAGCTGAATTACCAACTGCATGCACTCTTCTCTTTCCAGCATCCTTTGCAACCCCAGCAGAATCTTTGGGGTTCACCCAACTGATGGACGCTTCAGAAGCCTCCTTGGGACTATCTTTCTTTCTTCTCTTTGTTGAGATCGCTTCGGCTGCAACCTTGTTGGTTCGACTCTCAGGGCCTCCCCTCGGAGCAAATTGCCCTCTGCAAGGATATCAGGTAAAGTATGAGCTAAAAAACATGTAATAGAACGGACAACATGTTGACAGGCTTGAATGGCAAAGACATGAGCATTTACATGTAATTGATTGATCCATCATTTTGTTTGACCCCTTGGCCACTCTTGGCACCCAATGGGAAGAAGTGTGGCAAACGGTCACGAACTAGCTGTTGGATCCTCAATTCCTTATGGAAAAAATAGCTATGAGCAGGTACAAGAGAACTATTATGCCTTTGTTGCATGTTGCAGTTCTCAGTGAGACTGCTCTTTCGGTGATCATCTTCATTTGCATTCTGAACGGCAGCATTCCTATCCGTCAGAGATCTAAAATATTCTTCACAAACCTCATCTAAAGCAGGGGTAGAGATATGAAACTTTTCATCTGTCAAAAATCCCTTCCACAGATCTTCGGACTGGAAAGTCACATGCGATGTTTCATCCCTCATCTGTTTACTTGAAAGAGCACATTTTTCAGCAGCTGCCTTTACTTCTACACCTTTCTTCAAATGCTCAGTTGTGGATGGATCATCTGAATCTGAATAAATTATCTCAAACCTTCTAAGAGGACTAACATCTAATTTAGAGAACACAAATATGTTGTCACTCGGTTCCTTATTTTGAAATGCAGGAGAATCAGTATCCATATTTTTCCCTTTCAAAGTACATTGGGTTGCTGATTGCATGGAAACCCCCCCATGATGGTGTAATGGGATTTTTGAACTGCTGCTTACAGATCTTATGGATTTTGAATGATCTGATTTAAAATTTTAAAAAAAGGGAGAGGGAGGAAAGAGAGAATTTATCATACTCCGTATAAAGAAAAGAATGTGCAACTAACATAGCAGCTACTCACTCTGTCCAGATTTAGTTGCCCACTTTCACACATTGGGCATCCAGAATTAGTTATCCACTTTCTATATATAGTAAACAAATCATTAAGAATTGTCAAAAATACCCCTAATAGTATATTAGCATGATTCTCATCAATTAATGACAACTAATTTCAAGTAATAGATTATTTTACTTCTTCTCCTTAAAAATGAGATACATTGAAAAGTGGGCAACTAAATACAAATGCCCACTTGTTTGGATTTAGTTGTTGATTTTCAACAATTTCTCATATTTAGGGAGTTTGTGTAAAATACAAAATAAGTCTTTTAAATGAAATTTTTGTTAATTGATGTCAACAATGCTAATATAGTTATTTTGAAGGTATTTTTGATAATCCATCATATTTTGTTTAATAAATATGAAATGGGATTGAGCTTTTTGAACATGATCAATATAGACAGCCAATTCCAGATGCACAAAAAAAAGAAAAAGAGGACAACTAAATTTGAACAGGAGCAGTATTGATTAATAATTACACAAACACACATTAACCAAGTCAATGAAGCGTTAAAATCGAACTCATTGTTGGAAAACTACTCAGGTTATCAATTACTTGAGCTTTAGGTTTTAAAAAATAAAATAAATATAAAATTAAAAATGTCCGGGAACATGATGAAAAAAGTCCAGCAGAAACAATATATAGCTTAAAAACAGTAGACAATGCATAACTGCAGTGTGCCTTCATGGAAAAATTGCTAGTCAGCTCAAAAATCTCAATCACCGAATGCAAATTGGGGCACGCGCACACGCACACATGTTGGGAATGTTAGCTAAATTTTGAAATTTCACATTTGAATACAAGCTTCAATAACAAAGGTAGCAGGCAATAAGTGCAGTTTAGTAACAAAAGTTCACTGCTTCTCAGTGCAGTTGGATCAAACCCTATTATTTAAACCTAATCACACTTCAATTCCATTCCAACATCAGTGAGCATATAAAAATTGCCAGCCCAACCCCACCAGGCACACATTTTTTCTTTAGTTCTTGTCATTTTCACATGTTTAATACTCATTTCTGTACCCCATAATCGCCTGAAGCAGAAAAGCTTCTTGCACGCAGGTAAAAAGACGTTCTTACAAAAGATAAGAAAAACAAAAAATTGCGAAAGTTGAACTCATCAAAAAGGCTGAAATATTCACCTTCTGGCGGATCTTCCTGAGAAGAGAAATCTTCAATCTCGTCGTCCTCCAACTCACACAACGTCCCCTCCTTGACACTCCGACTTCGGGCCGCCGAAGTTGATTTGCAGGCGGCGGACCCGCGCACGAGGCGCTTCAGAGGCAACGGTGGGTCCGAGCATTTTACATCCGGACCCGGAACCAGGGAATCGAAATCGTCGCCATCCTCCTCCTCGGCGATAGTCCGGAGGTTCTGAGCGGGTTGAAATTCGGGCGCCGCCGTGAGATTCGGCTGCGAATCGAGCTCTAAATCGAGCCCTAGAGAGAACGATGGAGCTTCGAAATCCGCCATAGGTGATTCGGCTGAGGACGGCGATTTGGGTGTGTGGTGTACGGAATATATGAATCTTCCGAGAGAAATGTCGGGTTGAATTTGGGAAATTGCGCCAAAAGAAAAAATTTCATATTGACGCGAAAATGATGGCGCCTAGAAAATACGTCCCGTAGTAATAGTTCTTGAAAATTTTTGAGAGTAAATAAAAAAAGAAACTAAAAAATTCATTTTAATTCTTGGATTCTTAATTATAAGTGGAGTGTATATATATTGTAAATTTGTGTTGCAACGGGAGGAATTTTGCCAGATCTTAAATTTTGATTTTTTTTTCGTATTCTTAAACATGTGATTTAAGTCGAATTTGAATTTGAAATTTAAATTTCTAGGTAGGTCATTAATGTTTTTAAAATTAATTTATATCATTAACATTATGTTGTATTCATAAAAATTAAAAAAGAATGAAAAATAAAATGAAAAAAAATTTTCTTGTTTTCCAAATTTCTTAAACCAACAATATTGTTAAAACTAGACCTCTAACCCGCGCGTTACACCATCAATATTTTAAGATAGTGTTTAGAAATAGTATACTCGGTATTTGATAAGTTGTCATTTAAATTATTTAAAAACATCACAGAGATGCACTAAAGCTCTAGAGGTCATCGAGCTTTGTCCATAACTCGGTGAAACTCTTTTGGATGTTGCTATTTCGAAATAAAACAAGAGAGAAAAAATGCAAAAGCTTAATGTAATGAGTAATTTGTTGGAAACTCTGAAAGGTCATTATATATTCACAATATCTGATAAAGTTATTTATTACTTTAACCACCTACACACATCTTCGATTACAATGAGTATTATTTATTCACAATATCTCATAAAATTACTCATTCAATGTAGCTGTCTATACATACAGAGTTACAGACAAAAATAATGATTAATTGACAACCTCCCAAAGACTTGTTCATTTCTTAACCAAAGATGTCCATACCCAACCAAACACGGTTTCTTACATACTCTTATATTGAAAGTCTGAAACCTTAGGAGGAAAAAATCACGATTTTTCTTTCCCATTTGGCTTTGTATACTACTCCCTTTGTCCCATTTTATAATGCCTATTTTGGTTTACGATGTTTGACTGAAGTTATTTTCAAATCATTTTATATGAAAAATGGTATAAAATTAAAAAATAAAAATTACATATCAAAATACTACATCAAAAGATCTACAAAACTAGAAGTGACAACAATATTTTATTTTATCAATTTGCTAACGAAAATAGAGAAAGAAAGTGAATGAAGTTTGACAATGTGAATAGTAAACATGCATTATAATTTGGGACAGAGGGAGTAAAAGATTGTGCAATATTCAAAAAGTTAATGTGAATGTAAAATATGATCATGTTAAGGTGTCCCCAAATGATTGTTATCATGAATGCATCCAAGCTTTGCACAGATGACATAAATGATAATCAACTATACGACACGTATGATAATCATCTGTGCAAAGTTTAAGTACATGGTTACAAACATTTGAAGGCACTCTAGCATTTTCCTTGAAAGTATTGTTCAAAAACAAGGTCTCCATAAAGTAACTCAATAATCACTAATAAATTATTGATTGCAATATCTATATACTCTCTCCGTCTCTAGAGAAATTCAGTGTACCACACTACCACTACGACATTTTCTTTTTTCGTGCACTCTAAAATAAAATTTTCATTTTTTTCCTTTCCTAAAAAGAAATGAAAAAATGGCACACATCAATTGCATATCTTCCAAAGTAATTTTATAATAAAAAGTGACTAGAAATAGAGTGAAAAATTAAGGCTTTCATGTTCAACTTCTGCTCTAAAAGTTAAAATTAGCAAGTTTCTAAATTCTTAATGCCATAGATACATACATACATAATTACCATGGATGTGAAACATTGATACAAACAGACAAGAAGACACTGCAGTCACTTCAGGAAAGTTCTAGACTTCTAGCTAATAATCCAAGAACTGACAACAAGAAGCCTTGATGTTCTTCCATCTATGGGGGCATTCACGGTGTCAGAACCCAGCATAAGAATCAATGGAAAAAAGAATATGAACCAATGGATACTCACACTTGGCCACTAAGGTTTCCAAGGGGCTGGTGGCGGCGGCGGCAGGGGGAACATAGGTGGCACAGCGGAAAACATGGTGTTCTTATCCAGTTGAACACTCCTCTCGCCGGAAAGAGCCACCAGCGCAGCCACCAACCCGGCGTTGCCGGCAAGCGTGGGCTCCGTGTAGTTGTAATTGGTACGCACATCATGGAAACCGTCGTGCGCGTCTGGGCCCGCGACCATGGCTCCCACAATGGTGTTGGGGTTTGGCTTCTTCGAGTCCCTCCATTTCCACCCCCCTTTGCAGGTGTACTTGATGTTGTTTTTAGGGATAGACGCGCCGCGGTGGTGGACATGTTTTGGGTAGCGATTGCCAAACCCCACAATGTAACTCATCTTCCTTGGGTTTTTTCCAAGGATGTAGTCAATCTGAGAAGCCAAAGAACTCGGGTATCAAGATGACATGAGTATAATATAGAAATAGTACCAAAATAGGATTTCTATGTTTTTAACCCCAAAATAAGACTATTGTCATGTGGCAATTTGGCACTGTATATTGACATTCCATAGTATTTGTTGGTATTACATGTTGACATTATTGACATTGTAATCCTAGTTTTGTACTTTGTGGGATCATTCTCCATTTAGATTGTGTTTTGAACGTATTGAGTGTAACCGTGTTCTAGGATCCTAAACATGGGAAAGAAAAGGAGAGTGAATTTCACCTGTGTCTCGGCGAAATTACGTAGAACGTCGACAGAGTAGAAGGTGGGCCCGCAATACCAACCAGGGGTATCCGAAGCGGCTAGATAATCGCTGAACAAGGTGGCCAGAAATGCTGCATTGGCTACATACTGAAGAGGCTGTGGCGCACCATAGTTCAGCTGAATCAAGCCTCCTGCAACAGACCTCAAGCATTTTCAGCTATGAAACGTGCACCCAAAATCTATATGGAACATGCAACAAACCGAACTAATTTGAAACGTTTCTTCGTTTGTTATTTTTACATTTATTTCGTGAGTTTGAGATATTCTGGGAAGTGGACAACTAAATCGGGACGGAGGGGATATTATATTGTACAATTGATTACCTTTTGTTCTGTTAAAAGAGGAGAAGAACGGCAAGTAGGAGCACATGAATATGCTTGTCTGGTTATGGAAGGTGCTCAGAATCTCTTCATAAGGGTATCCCGGACTCAAGAACAACCTCAAACGGCTAAGAAGCACCTAAGAACACAATAAAGAACGTCGGTTCATATGCATCCATGGCCAAATGACTCAAAAGTCATCCAAAAACATAATTGAGAGAAGAAATGAGCAATAAAATAAATCTAACTTAGGGTCCGTTCATTTGGGTTGGAAAAATTAACTTCCAACTCTTTCCAGCTTCTTCCAACATCAAACTCTGTTTTTTACAACCCAAATGAACAAAGCCTTATTGTGAGAGATTGAACTCATCAAAAGCTTACTTGAGCTCCAGGAAGCTTGCTATCCCAGCTCATGACACCATGAAATTTGCCACCAAGGAAAGCCCCGGCATTCTTAGCAATACCTTTCATTGTGGCAATGTTAAGATAGGTAGAGTTCCCGGTAGCGTAATACAGCCAAGTCGCACCCCAGACAAACTCGTCGTAATAGTTGGTGGAGTTGTAGAAAACTGAAGCTTCTGTGCCTCTGGGACTGTACCTCCCGCGGCGATCCCTAGAAAATTGGAAGACAGTTTGGGCCCCACTAACAAGTTTTTGCGAATAGGCCTTGTTGTCCTTGAAAACAATGGACGCCGATGCAAGTGCAGCAGCCATCTCAGCTGCAAGATCAGAGCAACTCTGGCATTCAATCACAGGCCTGGGGTAATCAATGTCCTCAGGACGCGTCCAACAGTAATGGTCGTTAGGAGTTGTGCTTCGTCGTGACGTGCCCCCTACTCCAACCTAGCATTAAAATGCATGAAACCCTTTAATGGAAGGAAGAAAACCATGCCTATACTCCTAGAAGTCTGAGATTTTACACGAACGCTCCAAGATTAAATAATTTTCATTGGTGCTCTCAAAATTGAAATCTTTTTACATGAATGCTCCAAGATGAACAAAAAATGGGGATCCCTTTACAATTTTTTTAAAATTCCATGTAGTATTGTTGTAAAAATATTGAAATTCTAGGAGTGCCATCGTGTGATCTTGGAGAATTCGTGCAAAATATGTAATTTCTGGGAGTATTGACATGAATTTTTTGTTGATAGAATTGAAGACTCCGAGCATTTTTGCATTTGCTTTGAAAGAAACATTGAAAGATGTAGACGAGCCATTTACCTGCGAAACAATGCGATCAATAGCATCCGCGGAGGAATTGAAGGTCTTGAGGAGGTAATCAGTTCCCCACTTGATTATATCTTTTACATGGTTCAGCTCTCCGGCAGCCTCATACTTCGCACTGTATTCAATCACACTCCAGCTCAGCATGGTGAGGGCGAACGATTGAGGGAAGTTGAACTTTATAGCATCTCCCGCGTCATAATAGCCGCCAACCAAATCCTTAAAACTGGTTGAACCGTCTCCATCTTTAGTGCAGGAATTACCCCTCCATGACACATTGTTGTGCTTGGGCAGTTTTCCAGCTGCAGAACAGTTAAACAAACACCAATACAAGGATATATATTAGGGGCATAAATATATAATTTAACTAACTTTATCAACAAATTTGTCTTGTTGGAATAGCAAACCAAGTCCCACATTGGAAACATTAAAGAGGCACAAACATGTTAAATTGCTTACATTATGTTTGGTTCAGGAAATATGAAAGCGAAAAGAAAATGAAAACTCAAAATATATTTAAAAAATGAGGGAAAATCATATCTTTTTTTCTTTTCAAATTCTTTAAACCAAACAAAGTGTGTTAAGTTGATAAATTTTTGAACAGGTTCTTGAATGGGCACACTTACAGCGCTGGGCATTGAAGAACATGAGAGCCTTGTGGAGGGCAAGAGTGTAATTATCGGGCGGCGAAAAGGGGCGTTTGTGGCGGGGCACGGTCTCGGCAATCAAGACAGCCAAGCCGACCAGAACGGCGGCGGCGAGGGCGCCGCCGACGGTCCAAACGAAGAATCTCCGGCTCACCATAATGCAGCCCAGATCAACGTACCTCCTCTTCTTCTTCTGCTCGGTGGGGCCCAGCAGCCAGCTCTGCTGCGTCTCGTCCAGCGACCGCGACAGCGCCGCCCGGTCAAAGTCCTGGAGGTTCCGGCTCCGGCCGTCGACTTCGTCGTCGTTGGCGTGGATCTCCAGGGGACCGCCCCACGGATCTCTACCGTACATGCTCATTTCCGCCACCTAAGAAGGAATTGGGGCGGATGAATGGGGATCTGGGCATGCTTAATTTATTATTCTTGGGGGGGTTTTTTGTCGCGAGCTTTTAAGACTGTTGTGGTGGTTTGTGCCTTTATGGTGGACTGTGTCTCTGTTTGCAAGAACACACCCACGAAATTAACCACATGGTCTCGAGCCCGTGAATCAAAAGTGTTTTTAATTACTCCTAGTTTTAACCAATCTTCTTTGTCTTAAACTCAATTGAATCATTCTTGAGTCAACAAATACTTCACACTCTTTGTGTTCCGTACGAATGTTGTCTCTCCAATCTCCATATCAATTTTCAACGTAAAAACCAAATAAACTCGTGATCATGTGAGGTATAAGCTAAATACTTACTCTTTGACATAATCACAAATTTGAGTCTATTATGGGATGTGTCGCTCAAGATTGTGTATTACGTAATATGTGTCTGTTACTTGTTGTACGAATACTAGTGCCTCTATTGGGTACTTTTTTAGTCTCTCAAAGCTCCTTTGACACGCGTTAGTCCGCTCAAAACTAAGATCCTTGCTCATAAGCTTGTTTAGTAGGGATACGATCAGCGAAAGGTCCTCAATAAATGAGTTGATTATAGGTACTTTGGTGACTCCACAAATCTTCGCAAAAGGGCCAACGATCATGGGCCTATATGTGTGTTTCCATGGATCGAGCACCATTGGTCATCATTTGGTTATATACTTGGCTCACCATGAATACATCCTCGTCGACTGAATACATTAAGCATATCATTATTTTATCTCTCTCTTAATATTTACATCGAACCCTGTGTCATAATTATTATAATCTCTAAGAAAATTACGGTATGTTAAAATTCATCAATAACATATAAATTAAAATAGACAATTGAAAATAGAGGTCGAAAGATAAGTTTATAAATTTTAGAATAGAAGGTGCTAACGAGTCAAGTCGAGCTTGAATCTACCTAAGCTCGGCTTTAGCTCAATATCTTGTTCACCTAGCTTGACTTGGCTTAATGGCTTGTGAGCTTGCAAACTTTTGAAAATAAAGTTCGACACATTGTCTCAAGTAGTTCGCCTTTGAGCTCAATCGCTTGACTTGAAACTCCATTAAAGCTCAATTTGAAGCTTGAAAATAATTTTTCAGCCCAAAATATGCTTGTCAATCAACCTAAACTAATCGAGTTTAGGCTAAGGTGGATGCTTGGGTATAGTGTATTATGTTTTAATGTAGTAAGCTTGGAATGGATTGCATTTATATCTGTCTTTGTATATTGGAAGATGAATAAAATCTCTGCTTTCGATTCAAAAAAAAACTAATCGAGTTTTGAAAAGTACGCTTTTTTTTGTGTGTTTATTAGGACGACGTTACATTTTTTGTAAAAAAATAAATAAAAATATCAAATTTCTCACGTTCTTCATGAAACAAACTTTGATTTGACAAAATAAGTTCATTAAGAAATGAACCATGACCCCTAATAATTCTGAGTGTTTTATGGGTTGAAAATGTATGAACAAAGATTATGTTATAATAGAGTTATTAGTGTCAAAAAAGAATATGAACCAAACTCTTGCTCAAGCTTTTTTTTTTCGGGTCAAATATTTTACTAAAATTGGCTCGAGCCCCGTTTTCTTTAATTTATTCTAATTATATCATACTCCATATCAGATATATTTTTCTTAAAAAATTATATCCAAAAATTCCAGAGCACTCAAAATCATATACTTCCTCCGTCCGAAAATATTCTTTCCACTTTCATTTTTGGGCCGTTCGGAAATATTCTTCCCATTTCCTTTCTTAGTATGTTTTTTAAAGATAAATTTCAATAATACCCTTCTATTTTATCACTAATCTACTTTTTTAGTACTTTTTTAATAATAAAAAGAGATTTAAAAGTTTATAGTATGTGCATTTTTGAAAATTTTGCATTTTTTAACTATTCCTTAATAAGCGTGCCAAGTCAACACGGGAAGAATATTTCGGGACGGATGGAGTACAACTTTGACTGGAATTATGAGGCCAAAAAATTCAAACTAGAACAGAAAAAATTAGAAAGTCAAATCTTAATGAATTCAGATTTTAGATTATCAAATAACCTGCTTTCTCCATTCCTAAAACACTTTTTTGTTTTTGATTTTTTTGTCAAACAGTGACACACATTTTTTTTATCATAAATTAAATATAACCTAAATAAATAAATAAACTATAAAAAATTTGATATTTCAAAATTATATTTGAAAATAAACTCATTTTTTGTAAATTTACATTATAATTTAATATATTATTTTTATAATTTACAGTCAAAAAATAGCATAATTTGATTAAAAAATTAAAATAGGACAATCTTTTATATTAGGTACACATTAAAAAAAAAAAGGCACAGGTGATGAGACGCAAAGAAAAAGTCAAGGAACAGGTTTCTAGAGGGGATGGACTATTTGTTCTTCCGCCGAACTGAAGACCCAAAAAATCTGAACAGAAAATCTCCGATGCAGCTTCGTCTCGGTTTCTCCAACCAGCGGCTCATTCCTATTTCATGCCAGAGATATATATGAGAGGCGTGAAGAAGAAGAAGTACTTGACATTTCAGCAAACTCAACGACAACTCATCACAGCTGCCAATCGCCTTTCCAACTCCGTCCGGTACTCGATTCTCTCTCTCTCTCTCTCTCTGGTTCGATCTAGTTCTTGCCTGGTCACTTCTGTTTGTTGGGATAATTAGGGATTGGATGTCCTTTCTGCCCGTTTTCTTCTTGTTTCTTCGATTGAGAGCGTTTATGAGCTGGGATTTTTGTTATCCAGAAAGAAAATACGGAATATGTGTTAATTCTGTTTTTTTAACTGGTATTGGGGATTTTAGTGTTCTTTCCGAGTTTGAATTTGAGATGGGAGTTGAGGGTTTATCATTGATTTTACAGATCTCTGATACTAGTGTTTAATTACATAGCGTGTTTGAACTTGGGAAACTTCTGTAATATTGACAAACAAGTCAATAATCTGCTGATTCAGTATAATATGTCTACACTGGTGGAGTTACTGGTGTGGTTTTTGTTGAATATAAATCTCCTGTTACTCCTTTTCAAGTTATGGTGTACTATGTAAGAGCATCTCCAATGGAGAGTGGATAAAATTGCATGCTATAAGTTAAAATAGCTTATACATAGTGTTTTAGCTTTCAAAATTTCTTGCTACTTTCCAATCATATCAGGTATAATATAGACTTCTCGTATAATAATACTCCTTGCTCCCTAATTATTTGGTTGGACATTTCATCAAACAGGTTCTCAACACTGAAAACTCATCATCCACTTTTTCTCTCAAAATTTAGCAACCAAATACGGAGTAGTTAACTGAAAAAGAAGAAATTAGATCTATATATAGTTAATTGAAGAACTTCACAAAGAAGAGCAATGGAAGGAAGATTGTCAGAAGATAGATAGGAACCATTGGTTAACAAATGTCAGTGGTTGGAAGGGGGGGGGAGCGAACAAGATGATGTACAGAAATGATCTTAAATAAATTTTCATTCTTTTGTTTAAAAATTCCTATATTTACTAGATGTCACATCAGATAAATATCTACTACTTTTTGGTTTATATCTGATGTCACATTTTTTATCTGATAGGTAACCTCTGGTGAAAACTAATGTCATTTTCGATTTGGGAGATAAAAAACGTGAAACGTGACGGCCAACCTCCACGAGAAATGTTTTAGGCAATGGTATTTGTCCTAAAATAGTTGGCATTTAATGAATCCAATGCTTAATATTTTGTAGTAAAAATCTTCCAACTTTGTCCATATTAATTCTACCGAATGCTGCTTTTGACTCTTGAAATGAAATTAGGTTGAGCATAAATAAGGATAGAAAAGTCATTTTGTTAGGTTACTTGATAAGTATTGATTTCTCTAAAACGTCAATTATTTTGGGATCAATGGAGTACTACTTTTGGATTTGGAGCATGTTACTAGTTTTGGATTACATCAACTCTCTTTCATATTAGCCTATGGTTGAAGGATTTTGGAGGGAACTTTGGTTGGTTGGAGGATTTTGGAGGGGAGGGAAGAGAAATGAGGGACTCGTGTGTATTTGGTTTGGGGAGTTAGGGGGGAATGAGAGTGGAGGACCTATAAAATCATCAAACTCCTCATTACATACACATTACTATTTTTTTATCACAACAAAATTATATCAAATACAATACGTTTACATATTATTCTAAAATACGGAGTGTACTATTTCCTCTCCTCGCCTTCAACGAACCAAACATAAAATTCACTTTCTCCCACATCTCCGGTTCTCCATCCATCATTTATCCCCAGCTCACTTCCTTGGACTAATCAAGGGGATGTATGTTTGTTATGAAGGGCACTATCTTGTCCCAAGGGGAATGACATCGATTAGTTGCTTTAGCTATGTATTATATACAGTGAGATGTTCCGATTTTGAAGCAAATACTATGTATGTTGTATGTGATTTGTATCAACGAGTAATGCATTACTGCCTTTTTATACCCTTCAACACGGTCATGTTAGTCTTTAATCATAAAATTATGACTGGATCACTTGATTTGGGAAGTGGACCCAAATGTAGAAATTTTGAGTCACACTTTACAATGCGAACACATTGAGGGCCAAATTAGGATTACAACCTTTTTGCAAGTATTTGTGACTAAGCTAGCGAATTGAATGAGAAACAAGTATGCTCTCTGGTCACTATATTATTTTCCGTCAGTCTCAAAAACATCAAACATTTCCTTTTAACAAAAGTGATGTGTGGTCCATATTACTTTCTCTCCCTTCAATATAAATATTAGCCTCAATTTTAATAGTACTATTTATCCCATGCTCTGCCACAGTGGGTATTTCAATATGGAGGGAGGAAATATATGATTTATATTCAACAGACTTTTGATAGTGACATTGATTATCTAGCTTATGGCATCCTGCCCTACAAGAATATGACGTTAATGAGTTCCACTTGTGCATTTCTAATTGCAGGTTTCTGGTCTGAAATAGAATATGGCGGAGTCAGCTGTAGGTTTAGAAAGAAAACATTCAAATAGTGGGAGCCACGTAAAAGAAGACAGTGAATATGTTAGGCTAGTTATAAACAATGAACCAGCAGTTAGCGAAACAACATTTACGTTGCAGTCGCCCCTAGAAACCAGACAAAGAGCCCTGAAATGGTGGGTGAATGCATTTATGTGGTGCATTATATGTATAGTAGTTCTCTTGGTCTTCATAAAGTGGGGAGTTCCTTTTCTATTCGAGAAGGTGTGCAATTTTATTGTTGCCCTATCTTGATATCTTCATCTCAACTCAAGCGCAAGTCCATTGAACCCTAAACATTTACTTTTTTTCCCCATATATAGGTACTAGTACCTATCTTAGAATGGGAAGCCACGTCATTTGGCCGTCCAGCGCTAGCACTCATCCTTGTTGCTTCATTAGCACTATTTCCAGTGCTTTTGATCCCTTCGGCCCCTTCGATGTGGCTAGCTGGAATGATCTTTGGATATGGTCTCGGTTTTGTTTTAATCATGATTGGAACAACTGTTGGAATGCTCCTTCCTTACTTGATTGGTCTGATCTTCCGAGACCGGATCCACGTAAGCCTTAATATTGCCTTAGTTGATTACTGGTGCTGGACTTTATGCTTCCCTTCCTTTTCCAATGCTTTCTTGCACTCCATTTGTTGGTTCTGCAGCAATGGCTAAAAAAATGGCCACAACAAGCTGATATTATTAGATTGGCTGGAGAGGGGAGTTCGTTTCACCAATTTCAAGTGGTTGCGTTGTTTCGGATTTCCCCATTTCCATACACCATCTTTAATTATGCTGTCGTAGTTACAAGCATGAGATTTTGGCCATATTTGTGGGGTTCAATCGCAGGAATGATTCCTGAAGCCTTCCTCTATATATACAGGTGATACAAATAACTCATCTGCTTATACGTCCACTGAATTATTGTGCAATTACTTCATTGTTACTGAGCATATAAGTTGTTTGACACTATGTTTGGTTCAATGAATTTTGAAAGAAAAGAAAAGAAAATGATTTTCTCTCATTTTCCTCACCAAAATGGGAGGAATTTGGTTTTCCCTCCACTTGGTACATTTTGTCTTCTCATTTTCATTTCCTTCCACTTTTCCTTTCTAACCAAACAAGAAAACTTGCTTTCCACTTCATTTTCTTTTCTTTTCCCTTTTGAATTCCTTGAACCAAACATAGTGTAAGTGTTCAATTATCGTGCACATAATGAGCACTAATTTGTGTTTACTGAGCACACAACTTCCATTTAGTGAATACCCTAGAGTAATTTGTTTTTCACCATTCAGCATCTACAAAACTCTGTTGAGAAATAATTGTACAATATTCATTTACATGTTATTGTACCAGAGAACAACTCAAACTGTTAATTTCCTATTTGGTGTGACCCGAATGGCCATACAACACAATGATGCCAACCCATTTAGTGTTCTAACACATTCATCTCAAACCTTTGTTCTATTTGTCTGCAGTGGGCGCCTTATCAGAACATTCGCCGATGTCCAATACGGGAATCATCACCTAACTCTTGTGGAGATCATAGCGAACATTATTTCCTTCATCGTTGCAATCATCACTACTTCTGCTTTCACTGTGTACGCAAAGAGAAAACTAAACGAACAGGCCAGAACTGGTGGGTCCCAAGGCTGCTCTACCACTGGCCCTGGTAAATTTGAGATGGAAAGACTCCCCCCTGAAAAACCTAAGCAAAGGAACATCTCATCCCTGTTGTAGTAGTAGTAGAAGAAGAATTGGAACAAACACCACTGTATATAGTTTTGAGGTTGTTGTAAGATTGTTCTTCCAATTAAAGTCAGTTGTGTGTTAACTTGAACAATGATAACTGACTTGTGGAAACTGATTTAGGTTGGATATGTGGAACATGCTCTGTCCTCTCATGATTTTTTTTGGGATGTCCCAAAAATAACCTGAGAAATGATTGTATGATTCGTATGGTACTAATTCTTGCAGCATAAGGCTTTTGATATCAAAAAAAAAAATATGTGAATTTAGAATTGGTAGTGCGCGACTCTAATTTCAGTTGCATTGTTTTTATTATTTTTACTTTATCAAGAAGTGTGTCAAATCCCATACAAGAGGAAAAATATAGGACATGTACGGAGAATTATTTGGTCCTCTCTCTTACACTTTGAGCCTTTGAGGCGGAGTTATTGTTTTTTTTTTTGTATAACAAAACTAAGTTTTTCAATATAAAAAAGATTTCATTAAATTAATTATGTAAAATACTTTTGAATAGTTATTGCAATACAATTTTTATTTAATTAATGATCAAAACTCATTTACCTAATTTTAAACTCATATTTGATGAATGCTCTCGTATAAATTGAGTGATTCTTAAAACCACTCTTTAGCATTTTCCACACAAACAAAAAATGATTACTAAAACAATAATCCATCCCACAAAAAGTTATTATTGAAATAGTTTTTGGTATCATTTGGCAAGCAAATTTGACTCAAATTTGGTATATCTAGATGTTGCAATCCTTTCAGATTAGAATACCTTGATATCTTTTAATCCTGAGACAACAATATGGTGCTTTTTGACATCTCTTTTAACAGCCAAACGTTGCTTCATCACCAGCCAGTTAGTGGGCTACCCCGACCTGTTACTAACAACCATCATTTCACAACTCATACCATTTCTTGGCAACAACTTCTTTTATATTCAGAGAGGAAGATTTAGACTCATAACCAGACGCAAATGAGCTCTCATCCTCTTCACTTGCTCTCATTCCAGGAATTTGGAATCGCATATGGGGACATTGACCCGATCTTCATTTTGGACTTTGGGTGTCAAGTCCCATGCAAGAGGGAAAATATGGTCCTCTCTCTTACACTTTGAGCCCTTGAGGGGGAGTTATTGCTTTTGTTTTTGTTTAACAATACTAAGTTTTTCAATGTAAAAAACATTTCATTATATTAATTTTGCAAAATACTTTTGAATAGGTATTGCAATGTAATTTTTATTTAATTAATGACCAAAATTCGTTCACCTAATTATAAACTCATATATTTGATGAATGCACTCATACGAATAGAGTGATTCTTAAAACCACTCTTTAGCATTTTTCACACAAATAAAAAAATGATTATTAAAACAAAACTCTATGTGACAAAAAATATTATTAAAATAGTTTTTGGTATCATTTGTCAAGCAAAAAAATATAAGTACAACTTTTTAGTTTTTAAGGTGTTTAATGAACTCTAAAATCTAAATATGACTCAAATTTGATATATCTAGATATTACAATCTTGTCAAATTAGGATACCTTGAAATCTTTTGATTTTGAGCCATCAATATGACACTTTTTGACATCTCTCTCAGTAGTCAATCGTTGCTAGTGATCTATCATCGCCAGCCAATAGACTACCCCGGCCTGTTAGTAAGAACCATCATTTCACAACCTATATCATTTCTTTTAAATTTGAGAACCCATAACATATGAATTCTACTTCGTTTACCAAGTGAGTCCTTGGTGGTTTTAATTTTTTGTGGTCTAGCTACAAACTACTCCCTCCATCCAAATATATCTGCCTACTTGCTATATTAAGATTAGCTAACCTTCAAACTCTTTCTCTCCCACACAAAGATGGATGGAACTCTATGAGGTTCCACTTTTGATTGCAAAACCTCCCATTCGAATGAGAATTTTCGTAATTTAAGATCCGTTTGGAAATCGAGAAAACAACATTGGTAAAATACTTCGAGAACATAAAACACAGACTCCAAAGAAAATAGCAACAAAGAGAAAGGGCACAGGAAAACGGAAAAAGACTTCCGGCAAAAAAAGGGAAGTCAAATTCCTGGTTTTGGGTGTCATTTTCCAGTTGATCACATGCTATTTTCCATTGACTTTGTTTCCAAACACCGGAAAATGAGGAAAATGATTTTTGGAAGTCATTTTAATCTTTTCCAAACAGACCCTTAATGAAGAATACAACTCTAAATCTAAACATCAAAAGGGGTACATAAACAGATTCATCTCAAACGATAAGAAAGTTGTACGGTCCATACATACATCTCAAGTTAGAGTTACAGAAAATGGTAAGGAACACCCACCACATACCACACTGATAATCGACAAACAAGCAGCTAATGATGGACAATGGATCTTCCGTACTATGTTGGATAAGGTAATGAGCCTTTAACTTGCTGGCTCATCGTTCATTACCCAATGCAAGATCATGCCAAGTGTCAGCATCAACTTGTTTCCTCTCTTGGTCTGGAAAAGAAGCGAGTTTTCATCATTAGATTGAATACTTATCTACCAAAAGTTCAACATGGGTAATAATCCCAACTCTGAGAAACAGAGACGATGTAATTTTGATTCTATTGTGAAACAAGCAGCCATGTCTATTCATGTGAGATATGAAACATGCTTCTGGTCTTCAACTTCCAAGAGGGAAATGAGTTTCCACACAAAAAATAATGAAGTATGGAAGAGACTGTGGGAGTCCGAGACATAACCATATGGAATTGAAGAGATGATGAGATTCAAAAGGAAAGTGGATACAAATTAAACATTCATGAAGTTTAATGTCGTGACACAAACAAAGGCCGGTGCTTGAACAATAAGATGGTTTAAATGTTTTGAAATCTAAACTTGAGCAATAAGATCTTGATAAGCAAAGGAAATGTCTCCTCACCACTTTAAATGACAGCCATAGTTTCTTAGAATCTCATTCATGGGATTCACAAGACGATTTCTGTATAGATTTCTAGGAATTTTGTTACGGAGTACTTTTTATGACATTTTGCATAGCAGATGCATCAACGTTCTAACTGAAATAATTTTTTTATATACAAGGGTAAGGTTGTGTACATCCTGTGACCAATGGGTGTTGGTAATATATCGGATTTTGTTGTTGTTATCTTCATCTTCTCTATAAAGGTATAAACACCATGAAGAATCTTCTTTTCAGGTCAAAAAAGGGAGTGCAACTCGAACTCTATTTTAAGAAATCTGTGATACTTTTACAAAAATTCCCACCAAACACAGTAATCACATAATGAAAGATTGGATTCAATATCAACAACACAACACTCATAAGATTGCATTTACAAGCAAATAACAAACTCATCTAAAAGGTTATTTGTAAAAATTGAGCAGAGAGTTTAAATGTGCAAAATGAACAATAAGCAGAAATAGCTGGCTCCATACACCCACGTTTAGAACGCAACAGATCTATTCACTAAAGGTTATGATAATAGACAATGACTGTGGAATGTGAGCAATCCATAATCAAATACTAAGAGCATTTTCCTATGAATTTCTAGCTCGAATTTTTTTTTTGAAAGTAATAATTCAAAAACTACAACAGTAAACTTAAATTTCCAAAACATTCAATAGCAGAACCTTTGCAAACTAGCAAACAGTCTTAAGAACCCTAATTTTATTGATTTAGGGTGTAAGCAAGAATTTTAAAAAAATCAATTGAAATTTCAGGATTTTACACGGCATAGCTTAAAATTCCAAGAAAATCTTACTTGTATCCTCGGCATCTTCAGTTCGGGGAAGCAACATTGGCTGGACCAGCGGATCTGCAACCAGGAATCAAATAAAGCTTAGTATTTCCGTATTCAAAAAAATCAATAAAATTAGGGCATTGCAAATCGAAATTAGGGGAAAAGTGGCATACCATCATTCGGCAGAGTATCTCTCATCCACTCTTCATCAACAATGTCAATTAACATTCCCATGCTCAATAGCTCCGCCATAGTTTTGCTGAAACCCAAATTAGGGTAAGGATTAGGGCGCTGAGGGGAGATGACGGTTCATGGATTTTTCATGAATTAAGGAGGTGTCTTCAACCAAAAGTTTTGGAGATTTTTTTAGATTTTAAAAGGTAGGGGATATTCAATTAAGATTTTAAAAAATTATTTAAAATCTGAGTGTATTCAATTTAGATTTTAAAAAAGTCATTTAAAATCTAAAGGTATTAAATTTAGATTTTAACTTCTCTATTATCTCCAATGTAGCTCAAACGCATGCACTAACATTTTATACTAGTGTAATGCTAAAGTAATGATTTACAATGATACAAAATGTCAATGCAATTTTTTTATTACACTAGTATTTTATACTAGTGCAAACTTTTAGAGTACAAGTGTACAATTTGAATTTTACTCCGTATTTCTTAGTGTACCCCTACCATGATTGATTTTTCTTTGAGCATTTTAGATGAGATCATGTCGACTATTGTTTTCAAAACCACACCCACAAGAGAACGGGTCAAGAGACTGATTCACTAATTGAATTGATGGTTCAAGTGATTCAACCACTAGTTTAAACACACACACACACATAAAATACTCATTTTGCGTTTACATAAAAAAGTATGATGTTTGATAGAAGTTGTAATCAATTAAATTTATTTGATTAGTGAAATTAGATTTAAATCTAAAAGTCAGATGTATTAAAATTAAATAAAAAGTTATATAAAACGAGAGATACGCTCATTTATTCACATATTTTGTCAAATATATTCCAAAAGCATTGAATTAATTTTTTTGTCATGAATTTTTTTTCGTATTAATATCAAGTGTATTTTTAAAAACTTTGAATCCAAGTTATAAAATCATATTTATCAAAGTTTTAACAAAAAAATATTTTGATACATATTTTTTCAATTATGAAATATATACTATTTGGATCAATAATGAAACAAAAAATTTTCTTGCTTAGTTGATGCACATCTTGACATAATGTGTGAAAGGTCTATGATTTGAATCATAGAAATGTACATTTTTGACCCGTGGAACTAACTGGTTCTTATTAGTTTAGAATATAATACGATCCATATGGATTGGATCGGATTGCTTTGACCACTTGTTCATCGGTTTCCAGTCCTAACCAGCCACCGAGTCCGATTTTCAAAACATTGCATCTAACATATGTTTTAGATCCGGCCGGATAATCACTACAGGAAAATAATTTTAATTTATTCCAGATTGGTAGGTGAGAGTATCTTTGCATTTGAGTAAAAAAAAT